TATATTCTAATATATATATATATATATATATATATATACATATTATGTTAATCTTGATGATCGATACTCAGGATATTATACACGCCCCCCTCCCGACCCGCAACATTAGCCAGAATAGCCGTGATTGCTACATGTTTGACGTGCATGACACACCGGACGAATATTCCGGTTCCCCGATGTCGGATCCGGCAATTCTATGACACCCAATTACGCCCGACTGCAGTGTTGGCGTCCATTTATATGTCACCGGCAACAACGACGGACTCCTCCGACATCGATCGCGACAAACGAGCGAGACACTGCGTGCGCGCAGTTTTGCGCTAATGCACTCTGCACCGCCCCCCCTCCCCCGCCCGTCATTCTCTCTGTGACGGCATTCAATATTCACGAGAAAATGCGCCGAAAAACGCGCAGTTATTTACGGCGCCGCTGCTACGGCACGCGCTGCTGGCTGCAGGCGCAGTTGTTACAAGCCGGCTTCAGCGCGGCTATAGTGAGACGTTAATAACGGAGCTACGCGCGTAAAGTAGCCGCTAATCCTGTTATGATAGGCAGACCTCGTGTATGGTTTCCATCATACGATCCAGTCGTTGCACTTCATTAGCCTCTCTTTCTCATCATCAGCAGCAGCAGCGGCAGCAGCAACAACAACAACAACAACAGCACCAGCACCAGCAGCACCAGCCACAACAGCAGAAGCAGCAATAACAACAGCAGCAGCAACAACAACAACAACAACAGCAGCAGCAGCACCACCACCACCACCACCAGCAGCAGCAGTAACAACAGCAGTAGCAAGAGCAGCAGCAGCAGCAGCATCCACAACAACTACAGCAGCAGCAGCACCACCACCACAACCACCACCAACAACAGCAGCAGCAGGAAGAACAACAATAGCAGCAGCAGCAAAAACAACAGCAGTAGTAGCAACAACAACAATAACAACAACAACAACAACAACAACAACAACAATTAACGGCGGCGGTGGGACTGCGCGCACCGCCTTTCATCACAGAGCACGCAACCGGGGAACTTCCGTCTCGCAATTGTCCGCCTCGATCGCATCGACGAAGTAGTCGCGTTGACAGCTAGCCTCTCGTTTACCGGCGACAGCGGGCAAGTTTCATGCTCGATGTCGAATCGAATCCACTCAACACTGCGCAACGCTAACTTCCATCGAAAGGCAAGAAAAGAAGGCAAAAAAAAGAAAGAAGAAAAAAGGCAAATCACTGCTACTTAGACTAGGCAGTGGGGAAGGAGCCATCGTGTTCAGTCGCAGCTGCTTACCGTCGATATCATTTTTAGCGACAGTAAAGCTCACGGGTAAACGAGGCTACTTTTTGTCATGCACACCGCTCAACTGACACGTCGCACGTGTACAGTAGGAGATGATATAGAGGCACATGCATATGCAGAGGAGATGATATAGAGGCACATGGCCACATGCACACGCGCGCACACGCGCGCACACACACACGCACGCAAGCGCGCGCACACACAAGCGTACATGCGCAAATACGCAAGCGCGCACGCACGCACGCACGCATGCACACACACACACACACACACACACACACACACACACACGGCGCGCGCGGGCGCGCGCGCCCGCGCGCCGCCGCGCGCACACACACACACGCACACACCAAACACACACACACACACGCACAAAGAGAGAGAGAGGATGAGAGTTTCAGAAAGAGAGTAATGAATTTTTTCCCCGTGTGTAAGCTCCGGGCGAAGTGGCTTGATAAAGCCGACAATCGGTTGTTGGCTGCTGTTACAAGTATCTGTTGACAGGGCGGACTCTGTCACCAGGTGACACCTGTAGCGGTAAGTAATAATGACACGCCCCGAAGCTGTCAACCGTCACCCGAGTAAGCGCAGCCGAGCTAATACTGTCGCGTCTCACAACGAAGCCAGGTATACAGACTAACGACGTATACAGACCACGTCCGCCTATCACCGACTCCACTCCGGCCGTCCGGTCTCCCTCCTCCCTCCAGTCCGTTCCGGTCTCCCGCCTCACTCCGGCGTCGCGTCTCCGCGCCTCCCTCCGGCCGTCCGTTCACGCCTCCCTCCGGCCGTCCGGTCCCCCGCCTCCCTCCTCCGGATGTCTGGTCCGTCTGTGGTGTGCGTGTTGGGTGTGGGTTCGTGCGTGTGCGTGCTGCGTGTGCGTGTGCGTGTTCAGTGTGATGTGTCGTGTGATGTGTGTGTGTGTGTGTGTGTGTCGTGTGTGTGTGTGGCGTGTTAGTGTGTGTGCGTGTTCGTGTGCGCGCCGGCGCGCGTGTGTGTGTGTGTGTGCTGCATGTGTGGATGTGACGAGGGCTGTGTGATGTGTGTGCTGTGTGCGACCGTTGTGTGTGTGCGTGTTCGTGTGTGTTGCCGTGTGTGCGCGCGCGCGCTGGAGGCGGGCCCGACGTGTGTGTGTGTGTTGTGTGTGATCGTGCGTGTGATTGTGTGTGTGTAGCAGGCTGGGGCTGGGGGTGTGCGGGTGCGCTGCGTGTCGTGTGTTGTTTGCGTGCCTGTTGCGCTGAATCATATGAAACAGCATGAAATATTGATAAAAAAAAACAGAATAGATATATAGTAGATATATAGATAGAAAAAAAAAAAATAAAACAAACACACAAAAAAAAACAAAACAAAGAACAAAAAGAAATAAAAGAGAGAGGGAAAAAAAAAAAAAAAAAATAGAAAATAAGATAGAAAATAAAGTGGTATCGAATAAAGTGAAAATAGATAAGATAAGTGTGAACACGACACCAATGATGGATGTGTAGAAGAGATAAGATGATGAAGTACTTGTCAAAAGACAACATGCATCAATGAGAAATAGAATCACCCACGCACAATCCTGAGCACAGAACACCAAAGAAGACACTGTCCGAGCGCCACAAGCGCCGATCCTTAAAAAAGTCCTATGGTTTGCCTGGATCCCTCGCCGAACCCATGATTGTTTTAGGGAGGTACGTAGGTTAGGTCCTTTTTTGTGAGCGGCATAATAGTTGATTTAAGTCTGTCCTTATGTTTGCCACCACAGGCGTTGCATTGTGGTTTCGAGGTCCGGTAACTGATGAGAAATGTCTCCAAAAAAAAAAACCAAAAAATGGAACCCAAATGGTCAAGAAAAAACTTTTGGGTCGCGGCTATTTTCTCTGGGTCGGTCGTGAGGACAGCAAACATATTAGGCCCGGGAGTATTTTTTTAAGGGATGGCAAACGGTCGCACTGTGCAGACTAAACCAATTGCGACCTACACGATGAAGGTACACCGGACCACATATGCACAAGCTACACGCATACA